AACAAATAATAATGAAGATAAATGAATCGTTGAATATGTGAATAATTTATTTGCAATTGAATTGTTATATATACTGTATATATATTGTTGGTCACACTATTGGATGTATTTTGACCAAAAGTGTGTGCAATAAATCATTTGCCGTTTTCACACCACATCCGAGTGAAGCAATTATTGCCGTTAAACGCAATAAATCAACGATTATTTTAAATGTCATGTCTCTCTCTCTCTCTCTCTCTCTCTCTCCCACTCATTCACTTTACTCTCACAACACTTCTCAACCAAAACAGAGATAAACATTAAGAATAAATAAAAAACGCATTGAATTCAATACACATTCTGTTGTTAAGCACAAGAATATTCTGGCAATACGTTTGTGTATTATTGACACTACAATAAAACAGTGGACTATAGTATAGCAAAAGTAAACAAAACAATGTTATCTTAAAGCACCAAAAGGTTTTGCTCAAAATACATCCAATAGTGTGACCAACAATATATATACAGTATATATAACAATTCAATTGCAAATAAATTATTCACATATTCAACGATTCATTTATCTTCATTATTATTTGTTACAATTCAGTATCACAAAGATTTGGTAGATTTTGTGTATTTTATTTATCATAACATCATTAGATATATACTGTACTGTATATTATTGTAACATTAAATAATAGAGGAAACAGTGGATCACTCTACTCAGTCTACTCACTACTTCCCAACTAATCCAGTTATACCAATGCATTAACGCATTCACTCTATGTGTTCCTCATATAAAAAACTTTCTTTTCCTTTGAATTGTTTATTATTGTCTTTTATTCTTCGTTTCTATTCATTCATTTCCTCTCTCTCTCTCTCTCTCTCTCTCTCNTCTCTCTCTCTCTCTCTCTCTCTCTCTCTCTCTCTCTGCTTTGCTCTTTCACTCAATCACTCTATCCTTACCTGAAGTTGATTACTAGTAATAACTATTTTATTGATTTTTCCATAGAAATCAAAGCCAACAATAAACTAGTGGTTAAATATCTTAACTCCAGTGTTGATAATTGGGTGCAATATTGGAGTCGTTTGTCAGCTGCGAGAGTGAAGGCAACACTTGTTTGTGACGTTAATTTCTCGGCTCCACTATTGCCCTAATATAACAAATCAATTGCTTTTTCAAACATATACTCACAGAATATATAACTTTTTTTGGTCCACTCTTTAATTAACAGAGTCTATGAAATAACACTTTATTTTATGGCTTAATTCAAATATCATGTTTATGTTATATAATAATAATAATAATAAGTGAATGAATTTTCACGCCATTGAACACTAGATTTATGGTTATTATAGTTAACGGACAGTTGCCATAACTGTAGACACATTATGGTGGAGATAATAAGTATAATTATAATATGGTCATTATTTATCTCAACGAGATATTAATTTAATAATATTAAAATTTTATCCTATATTCTGTTAGTAAAATAATACACAACAATAATATAATAATTTAGTTTTTTGTTGTATTTTTCTTATATAAATCTGATTTAATAGAGGTTTTCGACGACAAGACTATCGGTTCATTAGATAGAGTTTAAGAAGAATTAGTATTTTTATATATATCAATAAACCAAATTTTGGTATTACTTTAAAAGTCTTATTATTTGTTATAAAAATAAGTCAAATAAAAACATTAATGATTGAAAACGTTAGCTCTCGTTAGGGCTCAATGGAAAAGTGTACAGAGATTTAAATTGTTTGAAAAACATATAGATTTTGAAAATCATTTTCTTTTTGCCGGTAATAAGACTTTTATTTGAGTGAAATCCTAGTCTTTGGGATAATAGGAAACCAATAAAACGACAAATAATTGCTGTTTTCTTCTTTTAAATTACTTTAGAGAGAGAGAGAGAGAGAGAGAGAGAGAGAGAGAGATGTCATTAAAAAATATATTTATTAGCGTTATATAAATACAATAAATAGATAACAGAATTTTAATTACATTATAAACATACGACAGATAATTGTTTTTCTTAATATAATAATAATTACATTCTTTGACAATAGAGTTGCGGAATATATTTAGGATTTTATATTATATAAACATTTAGTTTTATTTATAAGTAATAGACATTTAAATTATTATTTAATAATAATAATAAAGTTTATTTATAATAATTAAATTGTTTAATAATAAATATATGGAAAAATTATATGAATATTATATTCTCTTCAATGGTTTGAGAAATCCTTTCTATCGATCAATAGATGGGTTGAAACAAAAGTTTTTCGTTTGTATTTCACGTCAGATATAAGAGGAGAAAATGGATGTCTTTAGACGTTTGTCTCGTCATTAATGGTAGAATAATTGGTCACATCTTTGTTTGGATCTAATATCCGAAGACTGCTATCGCTGTTAACCATTAGATCCTTTCGTCGAGGAATCTTGAACTCAAACCTCTCTTCTCTAAAGCGGTGACAATTAGTGACCAAAACGATGGTTATTATGACGGCGTAGAAGATTAGGACAATCTGTGGATCAAAAAGCCATTAGCAATGGGATTGAGAGAGAGAGAGAGAGAGAGAGAGAGAGAGAGAGAGANTGAAAGGATTATTATTATAACAAATATAATATACGAGTTATAATAAACCAGTGAAACAATAATTTGATATATTGTTCAAAAAGTAATGTTTTTTATCGCTCAGCGACTAAACGTGACTTTTATTTTGTTTGCTTAACACAAAAGTGTATGTAATTTGTATCGAAATATAATACAATTAATTGAAAGATCCGTTTTGTCCATTCATAGGACCGAAAGAAAAGACTTACAATAATATATATGATTGCGTCTACTTTTTGCTGTACAAACATATCCGCCATTTGCTGATCGGTCAACTCATTTCGGTTATGAAAGGCTCGGGTGAGTGCTGTGTGGTTGCAGTAGATCTGCGGTAATCTGCAATATTAACATCATTATATTAATTGAAATTCATTAATACCTAGAGTAATATTAATATTAATAATACTGTACTTGAATTTTATCATGAAATAATAATAAAAATTATATGATAATTCATTTTTATTTTATTTTATAAATTATAATTTAGTTTAATTATGGTTTAGGCAATAAGTTATTGCCAATAAGATATTTTAATGACAGCATTATTAAATTATCCCTGATGCAAATTGAATGCCATAATCGCAATAAAGTAGTGAAAATTTAATCTTTAAAATGTGTCAATTTTATATCAATATTTTATAACTTTTATCTCTTTTTTCGTTTTATTACTTTAGGGTTTTTGACAGTATTTTTCAATATAATATTTAGTTATAGACTCTGTTATAATACGTATGGATTTAAAACCATATAACTATTGCCAGAATCTTATTTTATTTGTCGAGCAATTTATTCAGTATTTTATTTATTGAATTCAATGCTGGAGTTAAACACATCACTAAAAAACGGATCCACTTTTTTATGGCTATAATATCGGGAATATTTGTTATGAAGACATCATTCAGTCGCTCGCAAAATGCCTGAAGAAAATCAAGTGATAAAA